GATATGCGCAATGAATAGATGCATTTCAATAGAGTTATGCTGTGCTGCATGTTCCGGATAGGGTCCACCCAAACACCGTGTTTTGTGCCACCGGGAAGCCTTCAGTGCTTGGGATCACTCCCGGCAGAATGATCTTTGGGTACACATCTGCCCCCAGTACCAACGACACTGTGCTCGGCCGATAAAAATTTTCGTCTGCCAGGTGAATATTTGCAAAGTGGTCCTTGATGTGGTCACCCAAGTGTTTTGCAGGTGTCCTTATTTGGAGTTGGGGTTGCGCAGTCCGCACAACTTCCAGCCTGACATCGCTCCTTGTCCTTGATCGGATGAAGGCGGTACAAGCACCATCCGCACCAACGCGAGTGACGGAGAGCCCGAAGGCCGTTGCCAATGATGCGCTGATGCAGCTGGTTGGGCTGCACGGATCGATGAGTGCACCAGTCTCGAAGGTCTTGTGGCCTGAGTCGATGACGACCCATGCCGTTGGAAGGATGCTGGTGCTCCTGGATTGTAGGAGCGATGCCAGCGTCGTCGGAGGAGCAGCGGACCTTGAAGTCGATCTCGCTGGTGGGGAGCATGCCCTCGATGGAAGAGAGCGCGACTTCGGACGGGAAGTCTGGCGCGATCCGCCCAAGTGGAGGAGTGTGTGGTGGTTTTTTCCGCACACACGGCATGTGTCGCCGCTTCGGCATCAGTGCCGGGAGTGCTGGTGAGCCAGGCAATTGTGGCAGTACTTGTTGATCAGCACTGCCCGTAGACGCTTTTCCGCGTTCAGCTTCAGAAAGCGTTGGCACTTCCTTAGCGCGTGGACTCCTCGGCAGACCCGACAGCGGAAGCTGTTGGCTCCCCATGGCTGGTTGCGCTCTACTGGACGACGGCGAGGTGTCATGCTTGGAAAGAGAACGAGAAGGAACGTGTGAGTCGCTTCTGGAGACGCGACTCTACTTATACCCGTACTCAGTCAGTATATACATTTTTGAGCTTATGATTTTTTAGAATTTAAAAATTAAAAAAAAAATTTTACATTTTAAATTTTTTTGCTACATCTGTTATCTACATCTACAATGTATATTCCACATCTAACATGTAGATTGTACATGTACCATTTATATTCTACATCTCCTCCGCTAGGGGTTGCTCGCGCACTGAACGCGGCAGAGTGTGCGAGCGAGAAAGAGAATCAGTAGCGTCAGCAGCGCTGGAGAAGGAGAGGGAACCAACAGAAAATTAATTTCTTCATTCTGGCTATAATTATGATCCGATCTAGTTCAGATTCGGCAATCTGGTAGATATGGGCATTCTCTACGATACTGCGTTTTTAGTTCTATCGTATCTTTAAAAATGTGCCTGCCACAGATTTTCGTCCTTTGTGGGGGCGGAAGGGGGCGGGGCGAAATTTTGAAATACACTTGTAGCAGTGTGATATCACATGAGTCTGGAAACCAAATTTGGTTTCTCTAGCTCTTATAGTCTCTCAGATCTAGGCGCTCATCAAGACGGACAGACGGACGGACGGACGGACGGACGGACAGACGGACATGGCTATATCGACTCGGCTATTGATGCTGATCAAGAATATATATACTTTTTGGGGTCGGAAACGTTTCCTTCTCTGCGTTGCACACATCCACTTTTACCACAAATCTAATATACCCCTTAACTCTTTTTTGAGTACGGGTATAAAAATGTGGAATATTAATGGGTTGGATCATATGCACCAAACAACATCAAACATATTGGTTAGTTGGATACTTGGACGTGGACAGTACTATCGATAGGAAGAAGAATGAGCTTTGCTACTGGCCGATGGATATGGATATGTTCGCTCAATTCTTCCTAGGCGCCATTCATTGAGTGGTAGGTTGTCTTCCTTTACGACAACCATATCGCCTGCTTGGAGGTTCCGCGTTGGGATGTTCCACTTATTCCTTTTGTGTAACTCTTTGAGATACTCTTCCTTCCAACGGAAACAGAACTGCTGGTTTTGAGCCTTAAGACGCTGCCATCTGTTGATGATTGACCCTGCGTGCTCTTTTATTTCTGGCTCTGCAATAGAAATTAGAAATCAGTGGGCCGCCAACCAGAAAGTGGCCCGGACTGAGGGCTAGTCGGATCTTCTGACGCTTCCCACAAGCCACCCATGTGAGGTGCGCTTGGAGGATTGAAACGCCATGTGAGATGCTGTTGAGGATATGCGGCAATAACGCAGTTTCTTGTAGCTACCAGGAAATCATGGGAAAGGGCCTTTGCGGCTCCTACAAATTTTTTTCCATTATCGGAATACATTCGCTGAGGGCAGCCCCGTCTTGCCACAAACCGTCGAAAAGCGGCGAGGAACCTTTCGGTTGTGAGATCTGAGGTTGCCTCCAGATGGATCGCCTTCGTGATGAAGCACACGAAGACACGGGCAAGTCTCCCATCAGTTGGGTTTGCAATTTTCGTCGATGGATCACACATACTTGACAGGAATTAGGAGTCGTCTTCACTAAGGTCCGCAGTTTCGGGATCCAATACTTGGACCGGATGAGTCGCATCATAAGTTGATTTCCACCATGCAGGGAGATGCGGTGAGTAAATTGAACGAGGAGACGCGTAAGTACGCTTGAATAAGGGAGAATGATCGGGTGTTTTTCATCATAACTTAATGACTCGGATGTTTTCACGCGACCGCATGCTCTGATGACCCCTTTTTGGTCGATAAATGGATTTAGGTTACTGATGCCGCTAGACGCTGGAAGTGGCTGCTTGTCTAGCAAGCGCTGGACTTCCTTTGCATACTCTGCGCGTTGAGTACAGATGACCATCCGATCTTGTGTCTCGGATAGCTCGTTGCTACTGAGCTGGACAGGAAATCGAGTGTTTGGCTTCTGACACCGCATGATAAAACGGAAAACGTAAGAAAGGACCCTCATGGCCTTTCCGAATTCTGAGAAGCGCTCGATGATAGTGGATTCCGGTGATGACTTGGATAAGTTACACTACACCGTGCGTTGCTCCAACTCCGTCTCGTGCAAAGGTGCAGCTGGGATAGGCCATTGGTCTTGGTTCAATTGCAACCATTCTGGCCCGTGACACCATAGATCGCTGCTAGCCAAATCTTTGGATGAAACCCCTCTGCTAGCAAGATCAGCAGGGTTGTGCTCCGATCTTACGTGAGACCACGTTCCCTGGCTGACGGACTGGGTGATCTTTGTCACTCTGTTAGCTACAAATGTCGTCCATTTATATGGGGGCTTGTTTAGTCAGGCTAGCACAATTGTGGAGTCTGTCCAATAAAAGCGCTCGTGGCTATCAAGGGACAGTTCGCACAGTTCCAAGCGTGGCAAGGACACGGTCTTTACCGGAGCCACTCTCGTCTTTGCTGTGAGTAGATGGACGAAGACCTGATGGTCACTCCCTACACGCACGTAGATGGGATGCATCGCAAAACCCGTGAAACTGCAACCTAGGGTGATGCTGCACCCATCTCGGTCTGCAAATTTCTTGGAGAGCAGGATAGCTAAGGAGAAAGTCCTGCCATCCTTTGAGGCGGTCTGTTGGCAGAGAGTTGTCCCACCCGAGCTCTTTAAGCCAGATTTCCTGCATAAAGATTTTTGCTCGGACTATAAATGCAGCCAGCCATCCCGCTGGATCGAATAATTTGGATATTTGGGATAGGACTTCTCTTTTGGTACAAGAGGAACTCAAGGCTACCCTTGATGGTTTAAAAAAGAATTCGTCATTGTCCGCTTGCCACCGGATACCTAATGTCTTTGCTGCGCTAGCGTCCTAAATTTCAAGGAAATCGGCACACAGTAAATGGTCCTTAGGAATGTCCTGGAGGACTTTCTTCTCGTTAGAAGTCCACTTTCTCAGCGGGAATCCCGAACTATCTAAAGCAGCGCGAAGTTCCTTTATCGCTACGATTGCACCTTAGGTAGTGTGTGCGCCAGCAAGCACATCGTCAACATACATCGAATTGGATATGATGTTGCTTGCCAGTGGGAATCGCTTTAGGACATCTTGAGCAAGTTCCTTCAGCACACGAATGGCCAAGAATGGAGCGCAATTTACCCCGAATGTAACAGTGGTAAGCTCATAATCACAGAGCTGGACATCTACGTATCTGGAAAGGATGGATGGAGATTGTCGTTTAGACTCTTGCCATTTGAGGACAGACTGGAGGCGTTAATGACTACCCTTAACTTTGTAGTGGTGCTGTCCGGTTTTTGGACAGCATGATGGGGCAGATAGAAGTTATCGGAATCATTACTTGGAGGTACTTGGCACATATGACCTAAGTCAACGTACTCCTGGAGGACGCGATCATACGCTCTTTCAACGGAACGTTTGGTTTCAAACGCCCTTCGTTTCTAAGGAACTGAGCTAGTGCGATTGATCTCGAATGACCTAATTTGATGCATTCAGGATTCCGAAAGGGCAAAGAGACCATATATATCTGCCACTTGCATCTCTACGGGTGGTTCGCATAAAATTGTCTTCACAGACGGTCTCAGAAGAATCTTCAACCAGCCTGGCTGGAAGATCCTCCACCTCCCAAAACTTCGTTAGAAGTTTTTCTAAGCGCTGCTCTGAGCTGACACTTATCCTTGTCGTAAAGGAGGAAATTGAGGTGCGAGTTGAATCAGCTACTGGTCCCGTGAGGATCCATCCAAATATGGTCTCCTGATCGAGTAGCGATCCGCAAATGTTGGGTTGGGAGCCATGTTGGCCCTCGAACATGTACCAGCAACAACCGCAAATAGAAACATTCATCATTCTTCGGATGAACTGTGTAAATACGACCAAGAGCATCTGTAGAACGCATATCTGGATGACCAGGAACTGCATCGCCTTGCTTCCGACGTTGAAATTTCTTCGATGTAGCGTTCCAAGTGTAATAACGTGGCATTACTGAGTAAAGCAAAGTACGTGCGAACGGATCGCTTTGACAAATCGCACAGAAACTGGTCAGTGTTGTCGCTGGAGGTGTTTCGGCACGTTGAGCAGCATTCGACGCTGTGAAATATACTCTCTGACCGTTCTCTAGATGCACCCCCAAATGTAAAACAGTGGGATGACGTTCGTGAATAGGGAATGAAAATATACGCCAAATTGCTTCATTGCAGTTCACATATCTACCAACTTGATAGCGCGTGATTTCATCGTTGGTATTGGATGTTTGGATACCAAAAACCGCCATGTCGCTCCCTTTCGTGACATATTTGCAAATGTATTTAATTGACTTGACCGAATTGCAAACTCAACATTACAATGTGCTTTGAATGTTTTGGAAAGAAGTGGCGAATATGGAACAATCCAACTGTTGTCAACTACGAAATCGTTTCCTTTCACTTTAGTTTTGATAGTTCTACCATTATCATCGGGTGATCGACGCCGATACAATGGATAACCATCGTTGCCTGTAATGGTCTCTGCCGTCAATTTTCGTGGATACCGTTTGGAACACTTGCCGTCGACCATGCACGGTGATTGTCGGTTGATAGTGCCACACGGTCCATGAATCATATTCGTGACTACAACATCATGTAGGTCTGGATCGGTTTCAGGAGCAGGAATCTCCGCACATATGATGTCATCTATTTGATCTGGCCGAATTCTTTCGACTAACCAAATCAGAATGTGAGCATGCGGTAAGCCTCGTTTTTGCCATTCGATTGAATACATCCAGCATCGAGTATTCCCAAAGACGTGTTGCTTAACAATGTAATTCATTAGTGACCGAATTTTTTGCCTGAAAACACGTGCGGTGATGTCGTGTCGATCACTTGATGTTTGTCCGGGAAGCAGCAATTGAATAATTTCTATCCATTTCGGATTACATGTAAATGTAATGAATAGATCTGGCCGACCATAATGACGAACATATGTCATTGCATCTTGCGCATATTCATGCAAATGACGCGGGCTACCTATGTATGTCGCCGGTAAAATAGTCAACCGACCAACATTTTCTGAATCTCCTTCTGTGCTAATTGCATCGCGTAAATGGATATACTCTTCCAAACGCAATTTAGCTTGATTCAACCGAATGAAAGTCAGGCGCTCCGTTTCGATTTTAACGTACATGTCAACGCAATATTGTTGAAACAGTCGACGAAATCGCAACAAATAATTGTCAGAATTTTCACGAATCATCAAACGATATGCGTAATAATTCATCGAACTAACCTTCTTGGTAGTTTCCTCACCTGAAACAAATGCAGTAAAAATTGTATTTTAGAACCCGTAATAGGTTAACGACTCTTACAGCTACTCTCTACTAAATTAGAAATTACAACTTTTTTTGAGTACTAAAAGCAAACAGAATAAAATGTATATCAAGTTAAAATGAAAACAATAATATATATCTTACCATTCAATGGATTAATCATTTTGAGATTTAAGTGATATCCATCGTCTCCTTTCCAAAACATCAGCGGGTATTGTAACGCGTCATATGAACGGTGTGTTTCATATATTCTTTGTAGTTGCCCAGTATTGCGTCGTGTAAGTACAATATCACGTGTTTCCAAGTTTTCACCAACAATCAGGATTGCCACTTCATCGATTGTTGGAGCATTAAATGTGCGTTCATGTGTTCCAGCTGGTCTTTTATCTGCTCTGATCACAACTTTATAGTCATCACTTGGCATGCGCTCTAAAGCAGTCTTGAACAGTTTGACCAATGCATGATGTTCATGAAGCATTTGCTGCAGATCTTGGAGAATTGCTCTTTTCGTAGCTGTGTTGATCCCTTGACGCCGGTCAAGTTGTTCTTCCATATTGCCCATGAAGTATATTTGCAAGAATTTATGCTGTGCATCTTCTATAGGTTGCAATGATCCAATGCGATGGCAAATCTGGCCTTGAATCTGTAAAGTCAAATAATAACATGTCATTTTTATTTCAGAGACAAATACAGAAATCTAACAAACTACATTCCAGATTTTTGTTACAATGATAGAAAATAAAGTTTTTAACGTAAATTACCTTAAATGTCGGATTATATCCGTGTTTTTCGATAATTTCCGCCCCAAATGAAGTCATTTGGAAACAGACATTGTATTTTTGAGTGTTCGCTAGAAAATGTCGTGATTCTAGTGTTTCGCCATAAAGCAGGGAGCACAATGGATCTGGTGGCGGGACCAATAATGGCAATTTAACTTTACCACTAAGGCAGCACAAACCAGACGTTTCACCAGCAAACTTCAATGCTCCACAATGCTGGCAAACAACGTCCATTGGACCATTGCAAACTAAACGATGCAAGCTGTAGTCGATGGTGCAATCATACAGAAACGCTGCTCGATTCAAATCAATACTTGAACCATTTCTTCTTGCACTGCGAAGATTGTTCCTCTGTTCATCTGTACGATAAGCTCGACGATTTCTCCTTTCTAACCTAGCCGTTTCAAGGGCTGCCTCTCTTTGCTCTTGTCTTTGAGAAGCACTGTTCGTGGTGGGAGTTCCTGCCAGTAATCTTGTAAAATTCCGCCTTTTTTGTAGATGTGGTCGGCTCTGATGGGGGTGATCTCGCTCGGGATGCGCAAAGGAAAAAATGCGTGCGTGCTTCTTTCTTCAGTTTATTCGTAAAACTAACTTAACATTGCAAGCTTAACTCTACGACACCTTCGAGCTCTTAAGTCACCGCTCAGCAACATTTCCCTTGAGCTTTTGTGGTGGATATTGGATGTTGCAGTTGCTTCATTTTGGGAAGGCGCATGGTGCATGCTTTTCGGCATGAACAATTTATTAGTAGCTTATTTTGTTAAGAATAAATGCCGCTAAAAAGTTATTGTCCAGGCATTAAGCTGCAGATACAAAGTGTCTGGGTCGGATTTTAAGCTGCATTTGTCAGCTTTTCAGAACTGCAAATTTCCATGTCACCAGATATAAGATACTTAAGTTATGTGAAAAATAAAAGCACTTATTTCAGGTAAAATTAGTTTTGAGTCGTTTTGGTCAAACGGCTGCAAGTCGACCGTTTATCCATAGATTTTGATGAGCAATACCTTAAACGACGCTTAATTAATGCGTCTACCTAAAATTAAAAATGTTGGCCAAGAATTATATTTTTTTCGTCTTTTCCCGAGTTTTTAAAATCAAAATTTCGAAAAAAAAAACCGCAAAAAATGATGAAATTTCAGGCGTTAAGCTGCAGATACAAAGGGTCTGGGTCGGATTTATAGTTGCATTTGTCAGCTTTTCAGAACTGCAAAATTCTATGCAACCAGATATAATAGGCTGTTTACATTGGGACTGCGTCATGCTTCTTTGCGTCTTGGCGAAGACGCAGTTTTTTTTACATAGGTTAAGCATAGGGCCCTAGTGGTGGCAAAAAGTTGCGTCGGTCTGTGATTCATGTGCGTCTATTCGATATATTCGATTGCTTTTGCGCTTAACTGCACATTTTTGCACTTTTCTGCCTACACTACTCGACAAAACAGAACTTTTTTTTCCTCAAGGATCCAAACCTACTTTTTCTGATAGATATGGGGCTTTAAATTTTTTTAAAGAATTATGGTTTTTTTTTTTCTATGGCAGAACTTTTTTTTGAAGAATTTTTGATGTCTGGTATTTTTTTTTAAGCTTTTTTCAGAGGTAGCGATAGTTTTTTTCACATAACTTTAGTATCTTACTTCTGGTTGTACAGAACTTTTCTATTTTGAAAAGGTAATTAAATAGCTAGAAGTTAAGCCCAAATACTTTGTGATTTCAGCTTACCGTCTGGGAAATATAAAGCATTGAAATGCAAAAATGATGATTTTTGTGCGGTATTTTTTACGAAATTTTGACTTTAAAAACTCAGGAAAAGTCGAAAAAAAATTATATCTTGTGTCCTCTATTTTTTTGTGTATAGGTGCGTTTATTTGGCGTCGTTTAAGGTATCGCTCATTCGTTAACCAAACCTAAAAAATGAAAAAATTTTACAAAAAATACTTTTTGGAAGGTTGCGGGCCCAACTGCCAATTTGGAACAAAGCAAACGAAAAAGGGTTGTACATTTTGTACCTGATCGCGTTACAGGATATAATTTTTTTTTCGACTTTTCCTGAGTTTTTAAAGTCAAAATTTCGTAAAAAATACCGCACAAAAATTATCATTTTTACATTTCAATGCTTTATATTTCCCAGACGGTAAGCTGAAATCACAAAGTATTTGGGCTTAACTTCTAGCTTTAATTTTTAATTATCTTTTCAAAATAGCAAAGTTCTTTACAACCAGACGTAAGATACTAAAGTTATGTGAAAAAAACTATCGCTACCTCTGAAAAAAGCTTAAAAAAAATTACCAGTTTTCAAAAATTTTTCAAAAAAAAGTTCTGCCATAGAAAAAAAAAAAAATATCATCAAACCATTTCTAAGCCCCAAATCTTTAATAAAAAGTAAAATTGCTAAGAAAAATGAGATCGTTCGGAGTTCTGTGGCACCGCTGAAATTTTTACGCAGAAATCCTCTGCGCGGATTCCCATTTCGGTCGCGATTTCTGTGGCACCCCTGATAATATATACACAATTATTTTCTTAAAGGTCCTTAAAAGAGAGCATTATATGTGGGCAACCAGTTGAAAAACAGCACACAATGGCTCAGTGGTTTGATGATTTGATGTTAGGAATCGAGCGTAATGTTTCCAGTAAAAATAAGGAGAAGTGAGTATATAAAACATATTTTTAATTAAATTTTATTGAATGTATTTGCAAGTTTTGTTATTAGTGCAATAACTAGTATTTGTAGAAGATCGTTAGCGAATGAATGTTTTACGAGCATTGACTTTATCAGCTCAGTCTTATGAGTCTTTAAAAAAGATCATATGGGCTCGGCGACTAATATTAAAATCGATCGAACAACTGTTACCTTTAAATAACCAATTATATAAAATATGACTTTAATTTTGTATATTAAAATAGCTTTAAAAGAATTACATGTTTTTAGTGGTTTTAAAGATAATTTAAAAAATTTTTTCCAGTCTAACCGTGACACTAATTCATTTTTGTACCCATCGTCATCCCGTAAAACTGTACAAGTAGCTTTAGAACCCATCGAATGGCTGGCGGAATCCTAAAAGTCATTGAATTGAAACTAAAAGCCCGAAAGTACCCTTGATTTGACCTGATAATTCCGATAATTATACACATCTGCCAACTTTTTAATGCAATCACAAGACAATAACTTTCCCTAAAAATGGAAAAAGTTCATTATAGTGATAATTCCTAAGCCAGGAAAAACGAGAAGGAACGTGTGAGTCACTTCTGGGGACGCTACTCTACTTATAACCGTACTCAGTCAGTATATGTATACATTTTTGAGCTTATGATTTTTTAGAATTTTAGAATAAAAAAAAAATTTTACCTTTTTCATTTTTTTTTGCTACATCTGTTATCTACATCTACAATGTATATTCTACATCTAACATGTATATTCTACATGTACCATTTAGATTCTACATTTCCTCGGCTAGGGGTTGCTCGCACACTGAACGCGGCAGAGTGTGCGAGAAGGAAAATGAGTTGCGTTGTCGTTTGCTGGAGGGGGCGGGGGGAAACAACTGAAAATTAATTTCTTCATTCTGGCTATAATTATGATCCGATCTGATTCAGATTCAAGAATCTGATAGATATGGTCATTCTCTACGATACTGCGTTTTTAGTTTTATCGTATCTTTAAAAATGTGCCTGCCACAGATTTTCGTCCTTTGTGGGTCGGAAGGGGGCGGGTCGAAATTCTGAAATACACTTGTAACAGTGTGATATCACATGAATCTGGAAACAAAATTTAGTTGCTCTAGCTTTTATAGTCTCTGAGCTCCAGGCGCTCATCAAGACGGACGGACGGACAGACGGACATGGCTATATCGATTCGGCTATTGATGCTGATCAATAATATATATATTTTAGGGGGTCGGAAACGTTTCCTTCTCTGCGTTGCACACATCCACTTTTACCACAAATCTAATATACCCCTTAACTCTTTTTTGAGTACGGGTATAAAAATCTGCAAATTTGTGTATTTCTTTCTCGTTCTCTCTACCAGTACATCAATTGGAGAGTAAAAGAGAGATAAAACCGATGTGTTCGGATCTGACACAGTAAAAATAACGAGACTTGCTTCGTTCGGTCCGTTTTGGGAGTGCGATTCGAAGTTATGACAAAGCCGAATCCCTCGTGATCTTTACAGTATATGCCCGCTTCTACTCCCTCTTCCATCTTGGAGCCGTTAATTTTAAAGTGTTGAGTCTGATCCCGACCCTTTTTCCAGTCTTCGAGTCCCATAAATGAAGTTGCTTTGACACAAGGCTAGTTTGGGGGATCATGTAATCAGATCTATTGATCATGTCGCTTCCAATTAAACTGTGCCCGAATCCTTGTAGCGACATCAAGTTACAGATGCGACTAGGCGTTGTGCTGCCTTTCCTGCAGTCAGTTGAGCGTGGATGTCCATATGCAATGACTGCACCATCAAGTGGCCCATGCGACACAAAGCCGAAACCTGTTACGCGCGGAACCCAGGCAGAAACGCAGCCCTCCTCCCACCGCAAACTTACCATAGAATAATACTTATAACGGGAAAGGTATTTTAATATTAGTGATATAAAAAGAGAAGAGAGTTAGTGGTGGATATTATATGGTAGAGCGAATTATAATCCGAGCATTAGACCCTAAATGGCTATTGCAAGGAATAATTTGATCTACAAAGTGAAAGGAACAAAAGAATAACGTTTCTAGTAGATCTAATAGGAATCGTTATGTTTATACGGCTCAACAATTCAGGGCTATCTACGTCACCCTTGATCAGGTTGTGCATAAAAATCACACCAAGTATTTTTTTACGACTCACTAAGGTTTATTAAAAGCAATGGCAGTCTCAAATTTGCATTCCAGTTAAGGCCACCCAGAGCAAAAAGTTTTTCTGGACTGATTCTATACGGTCCTGATGTACTCTGCACTGAGGGCACCATACACAAAAGTCGTATTCTAAAATCGGACGAACAAGCGGGATATAGAGTGTTACATAACGGTCATCGAGTTCATATGACCACCTGTTCAGAAAAATTGAATCTGGGATCTAGTTTAACACCATGATCTTCAACCAATGTAATTCTCTCAAGAGAACCACCGCAGAGGGTGTAAGGAGCCAACAAGGGGCTGGAGCGATGAATGTCATTACCTTGCATTTCGAGGCATTAAGGTGTAACATATTTGCAGAACACCATGACTGAAAGCTATTGAAATCGGATTGCAAGCGAGAGTGAAATGAAATTTCCTTATACTCGAGAGTTTGTTAACACTGAAGGCAGGTCATTAATAAAGAGGGTGAAAAGTAGAAGTAACCTTAACAGGTGAAGAGAAGGAGTTTTTGAAGAGGACTCTTTGAGACTAGCTAGAAATCCATCTCAAAAGATTTGGCGGAAACCCTAAAAGGTCATGTTTTTGTGCTAGAAAGGAATTGTTTACAGAGTCAAATGCTTTACTGAAGTCAGTGTAAATAACATCCGTCTGCAAGTTACCTTGGAAGCCTTTAATGATAAAAGAGATAAACTCTATTAAATTTGTGATTGTTGATCATCCCCTTATAAATCCGTGCTGAGCTGGTGCCACAAAAATCACTTCCGCTGGAATTTTACCTCAATTCAATTCTGCGGTGCCACACACCGATTTTTAAGGACATTCGAAACCGCGCACTATTTATCCAGCGATTTGATTAAATACACCCATAAACACACACTTAAAACGAATCGAATCTTACTCTCCCATTAAGAGTTGTTCAATTGGGTATTAACCCTCATCCAAATAATTTAACATTATACATGTTAAGTTAATAAAATAAGCCTTTTAGTATGTCACTATCCGCTGACTGAATTTTCACTTAACGATTCCGCGATCAACCCGCTGGAGTCCGAGGTGGTCTCCTAGGGCGATTCGGACTTTCGAAGTTAGGACAGTAGTTCCACCCTTTTTAAGCCGAATTCGGAGCAAGATATTAATAATTATATTGAAAGCATTCTGCTTTTCTTTAATTAGGCATTAAAAAAAATAGCTCATTGCAGTAAAACTTCCTTTAGGTCCAACGTGTGCATAATTTGTGTGCAAATTGTGAAAACATTTCTAGTCATTTGTAGTGTTCGGCTGAGTGCAGACCCATGGGAGAACAAAGAGAAACATAGCGATCATTATACCAAAAACTGTTAATTGTAATGAACCAAAAACCCAACAAACTAACCTAAGCTTACCCTATAATTCAGATGTCGGTTTTTGTTTGAGTAGCTGATTGCTGCCATGCACGGAGAGTTGCCTGCCAGACAGCTGCTAGATTTCCACATTGCATAAGATACCTTATTTCAGGCTGGGATATGCATCAGCCTGTCCAGGGTTCCTCTACAAGAAATTTGTATATTTGCTGGAACTTACGGTTCGGGGCTGGCCTTGTATGACCGAAAGAGTGGTAGGAAAGGTGGGAAATTGTATGACTCAATAACTTCTGTCGTTTTGGTTTTGTTTTGTTGATTACACTACTCGACAAAATCGAACTTTTTTTTTCTCAAGGATCCAAACCGACTTTTTCTGACAGATATGGGGCTTTAAAATTTTTTAAAGAATTATGTTTTTTTCTATGGCAGAACTTTTTTTTGAAGTCTGGTATTTTTTTTAAAGCTTTTTTCAGAGGTAGCGCTTGTTTTTTTCACATAACTCTAGTATCTTATGTTTGGTTGTAAAGAACTTTGCTATTTTGAAAAGATAATTACAACAGCTAGAAGTTGAGCCCAACCACTTTGTGATTTCAGCTTACCGTCTGGGAAATATAAAGCATTGAAATGCAAAAATTGATAATTTTTGTGCGGTGTTTTTTACGAAATTTTGACTTTAAAAACTCAGGAAAAGTCGAAAAAAAATTATATCCTGTGTTCTCTATTTTTTTGTGTTAGGTGCATTAATTTGGCGTCGTTTAAGGTATCGCTTATTAAAATCTATGGAGAGACTTTGGAGCTAAAATTCCTTAACCAAACCTAAAATATGGAAAAAATGAACAAAAAATACCTTTTGGAAGGTTGCGAGCCCAACTGCCCATTGGGAACAAAGGAACGCGATCAGGTACCAAATGTACAACCCTTTTTCGTTTGCATTTGAAAAAAAACAAGCGCTACCTCTGAAAAAAGCTTAAAACCAAATACCAGTTTTCAAAAATTATTTAAAAAAAAGTTCTGCCATAGAAAAAAAAATATATAACATCAAACCATTTCTAAGCCCCAAATCTTTAAGAAAAGGTTAGTTTTGTTCCTTGAGGAAAAATCGTGTTGACTAGTGTTATTTAATTCTATTATTGGCTTGGCTGGTTTGTTTCAAATTCAGAACCTGCTTGTGCTACTTGTGTTGCGGGCTGGTGGACTGCCGTGCAGGGGTCGGCAACCTGCGGCTCTTTCGTTCTAAAGATGCGGCTCTCCAGTTCCATTAGTAGTTAGCATTAAAAATTATATTAAATATTCAAAACTCCGAAAAAAAAATCTTTTGTAATTCAAATATATACTGAAAGGAGGAATACAGCCTTATTACTGACCCATACATTTTCGAAAATAACTGTCATTCTGAAATGGCAACTATAGCCATTTATTCCCTAAAATATCGATGTTTAACAGCCGATGAATCATGAGAGTCAC